ATCATAAATGGAAATGAGTTTGGAAGTTACAGGATGGTCAGATGATGCCAGTCTTTGTTTCTTTTAATTTGGGAACTTTTAATTTGGGAACTTAGAATATTCTTTACAATGCGGTTTCCTTAGAAGTTTATATATTTATATCATATATTGTCCTGGACACTGACATCCCCAGTCTAAATCCACTCTGAGATCTTGGCTGCATGTCATTTTACCCTCAGACTCTTCCCACAGTTCATGTCACCGTCTTCTTTCAGCTAATAATCCCATGAAAAAAATTGTCATATATTCACACTTGCAGGCTCTGGATGGGCATAAATCATCTGGGGATTCTGGCTCTCGAAGGGACTCCTCTTCAGTGATCTTCTCTGATTCTTCCAGAGAAGGGTTGCTTAACTTTAGGCAGTTCAGTACAGATAAAAATAAGGTATTTCTTTACATTCATGTCTTCATCTAACACTGTAACTATCACTAACGTTATGGTTTCTAAGCATTTCTCTCTCTATCTCCTTTCTTTTCTTATAGCGTGTTGGTGGGGGAATGAGATCATGGAAGCAAATGTATGCTGTTTTACAAGGTCACACCCTGACCCTGTACAAAGACAAGAAAGATGCACTGTCTCGCTCTTCAGGGCAATCCGAGGAGGAACCACTGCGAATTAGCATCGAGGCCTGTCTGATTGACATCTCCTATAGCGATACAAGACGCAAGAATGTGCTGCGACTAACCACCTCAGACTGCGAGTACTTGTTTCAGGCAGAAGGGAGAGATGACATGCTGTCTTGGATCAAAGACATTCAGAAAAACAGTAACCCAGATGAAGAGGTTCGTGTGTGTGTGTGTGTGGTAAGACCAAATGTTGTGTGCTTAAATGCAGAGCCAAGTGATGGTTATGACCACATGATGAGTTGATCTCTCACAGCCTGTCTGCCAGCTTAAGTGGTTTGATTATATTTCCCCCAAACTTCCTAAAGTGCACCAACTCCTGGCTGGCCTCATGCTTTTCTGTCCTATAATTAAAAAATTGTTATCAAGTCAGAACATAATACTGTAGTAGTACTCATTATTTTTTTTAGCACACTAGCATGTGCTAGTTTAGACTACAGCACGCTGTAGTTTTGAAAATAACAACCGGCACACCCATCAGGTTAACAACAAAGAGACCCAGAGTTTGTCTTTGAATAAAATACAATGAACATGTCAGTGAGATGGAGAGGATTACAGCAGTTATTTACAAAATGGTTAACAAAAGCAAAAATAAGGTGTCACTTGAAACCTGTTCTACCTGGGCAGAACAAAAAAAACAAAAAAAAACACGGATGGCACTTGGTTAGGGTGTGAGGGGAAATTTCCATTTCAGACTGAGAGGAAGTCAGTAAGGTTCCTTTCTGATCTGTACAATAAATAAATACATGATCATATATATTTATTTACAAAAATATTGCAAAACCTCGATAATTAAATTGTATTATATTACAAAACAATATATTTTTATTTTAAAGTCTTCTGTTTATGTCTGTTCTCGCTACAGAACGCAGCTGTGAGTCGGGACCTGATCAGCCGAAGGATCAAAGAATACAACATGAGGTATGAGGGACTACATTGACCCCTGAGGGGGATCCAAAATACTGGACTACCAGTATTAAGTGTATGGCCTCCTAATTGTAATACTTATTTAGACTGTGTATTTTTTAAATATTTTGCTGTTGAACAGTGCACCCAGCAGCAGGTCTGAACCTTCACCCAAGCCTGCCCGACATTCGCTGAGCATCAAAACGCCATTCCTTGGAGGCAAAACAGATGGTAAGAACCATAGCCCCCATTTGCCCAAAACTGGAGAGGAGCAGAGGGCAATGAAGAGTAAAGCTGCCAGTTTTTAATGTTAAGGTGTGTCATTAAGTGTCGTTAGAGTGCATGTAACCTCAATTTGTATACGTTTGACCTGTCAGATGAGTCCAGTCCACCACGGGACAGAGGTACTTGGAAAATTGCCATTCCAGGGATCATAAGGAAGCCATTTGAGAAAAAGACTCCAGCTGGCATCACTTTTGGTGTCCGACTTGATGATTGTCCATCTGCACAAAGTAACGAGGTGGGTCTGCTGTGTTTCTACAGGTTTTTTTGTTTTGTTTTTTTAAAGATGGGCTCATTATCATTCAGATGAAGATGAAATGTGTTTCTTCCAGACAAATAAAATGCATCTTTACATCCACTTTGAATCACTCATTCACTGGAGCTAACAGTGTGTGGTGTCATTGATCGATATGGTTCATGCTGTTGATTTTTTTTTTTTTCTTCTTATGTAATTTGTGCAGAATGTTCCTCTCATCGTGGAGGTGTGCTGCAAGGTTGTGGAGGAGCGAGGTCTGGAGTACACAGGAATCTACAGGGTCCCTGGGAACAACGCTGCCATCTCCAGCATGCAGGAGGAGCTCAACAGCAAAGGCATGAATGACATCGACATCCAGGAAGACGTGAGTGACTGACAGTCAGGTTGCACAGTACAGCGCACCACTTCCCTGACAACATCTTTGCACTGTGATTGATTCGTACTGCAAGAACTGCATTAACCTGAAGCTGCCTTGATCTACTCTGCAGAAATGGCGGGACCTTAACGTCATCAGTAGTTTATTGAAGTCCTTTTTCAGAAAACTTCCAGAACCTCTGTTTACAAATGGTAAGACTAAAGTCATAAAGAATACATTGCAAAATCTCTGGGATAATGTCGTTTTTCCTGTGCGGTTATTCTTTTTGCAATTGTAAGTTGAGGTTTTCTGGATCTGTTCACAGAAAAGTATGCAGATTTTATAGAAGCCAGCAGAATAGAAGACTCAGTGGAGAGATTAAAGGAGCTCAAGAGGCTGGTGAGTGAAAGATCAAATATGAGGAACCTAGTTGAACAGTTATTACCATAAAGCATTCTCCTCATCCTGAGCACTGGCCCCCTGTTTGGTCATTTCCTCCAGATCCGTGAGTTGCCAATTCATCACTATGAAACTCTGAAATTCCTTTGTGCTCACCTCAAAAGAGTTTCTGACAACTGTGAAAAGAACAAGGTATGAGCATCAACAGGATCTCTGTGTTAATGCCGTTAGTTAACACCATGCAGTGCGTTCAATCCTGTGCTAATCCAGTGTCTCTGAGGATTATGTCATTAAATGTGACTTTTACCTTGTATCTATTTAGATGGAGCCTCGTAATCTAGCTATCGTGTTTGGCCCTACCCTGGTCAGAACCTCTGAGGACAACATGACTAACATGGTTAACCACATGCCAGACCAGTGCAAGATAGTCGAGAACCTTATTCAGCAGTTTGACTGGTTCTTCGCTGATGATGGTGACGAGGACCCTGTTGTATGTAGCATTTCTTTTTCCTTATTTTATTCGATGGAAATTAAATGAAGGGTCTATCAGTTCTGTGGATCAGTTTAGTTGTTGATTTTGAAGACATGCAGCTACAGTGTTTATGGATTACCTTTAAAATGTAAAAATAGAATTGAACAACTTGCACATGTCATAAACCCAGATTTTATTTTACAATAGAAGATAGAAACCCTATTTTTTGCATTGTGTTAAGTTACTTTTTACTCTTTTCCTTCCGTATGTTGCTCCAGACCACAGCGGAGCAGGAAAGTACAGTGCAGTCTCAGCCTGTGCCCAATATCGACCACCTGCTCTCCAACATTGGGCGGACTGCACCCTCTCCTGGCGAAGTCTCAGGTAACTTAGCAGCAGTGTTTTTCACACTTCAGCATCAGCACAGCAAATTTCTGCCATAGCAGCATTAATATTTTTCCTTAAGATTATAGTAGATTAAAAGAGTTGTGTGGTAAAGACCTATTTAAGATTAAATGCTGGTAGAGTGTCAATTGCAAATGCTAAAAGTACGAGCACCATCCCTTGTTTTTCAGTTCATATGCTTTAAGCGAATACTAAACAGCCAAGTTTTATTTGTTTCTGTTAAAGCAAGTTTTGTTTTGTTTTTTTCAGTAACTTTTCAGTGGATGCAATGTTGCACTTCAGCCACTGGAAAATTGTTGAAAAATGCCTTGCAATCATTTAGTTTATTTTTTGGGATAAAAGTCTGTTTTGTTTGGATGTTGATGTTTATTTGCCCAAAATTAAACTGTCCTCAAGTTTTGTTTTTGTTCGTTTCTTTGCTTTATTCTTCTTTTTTCTTTTTCTTTTCTTGCTCAAGTCATTTTTTTCTCCCTGTGCTTTACCTGTGTTGAGACGACGACTCCTTTTCTTTCAGTTCTTTTCTTCCCCTCCTCCTCGTCTCTCACATAATCCCGGCATGTTCTTTCCCAAAGAAAATCTAACAAACAAAACGAAACAATGGAAGTTTTAACCCTTCTGACCTGTGCCCTTCTGTGTGTAGTGTGTTGTTTTTCTCCCTTATCCCTGTCCAGCACTCACACATTACCCAATCTTGACACAGGCCAAGTGGGCGGCGTCTATCACTCGATGATGTCACTGATGGACTCTGTTTTGTCAGTGATGGACAGCTGGGACTGTAGGAAGAAGGACGAGTGTTGTGCCCAGTGTAGCTGCCTAGTCTGCAGAAACCCGCAGCTCTTTTAAATTTGGGCGAAAGGAGGAAAAAAGATAAAAAAGAAAGAAAGAGAAGTCGATGTTTGTCATTTTTCCTGTGGTGTGCACGTCTCATATTTAAACCAATACCCTAAAATGAGGGCATACAGAGCGATGCTGCTGTTCTCTCTCTGAAAGCCCTTCTGCTGTCTCTTGTTGTTTCTTAAGCTGATCGCAAGGACAAGTAGCATGGTACGGTCAACCTCAGGTTCTCTCCCGGTCATGTGGCATAATCTGTCATGATGTCTGAGGGTGGGGGTCGTGGTGTTGGGACTGAGCTGGATGTTCCCCAGCACACATGCGTTTACACACAAACAAAAAACACACACAGCCACCTCCCAGGTGGAGTAGTAGTTAGCAACTTACTGAAGCAGAGGCACTCAGGCTTTCAGCTAGCACTGGATGGAGTTCCCGTTAGGAAGATGTAGTGTTTTTTTGTTTTTGTCTTTTATTTGTTGTCTGTGATGTCATTCTTTCAAAATCTTCAGTATTTTAAAATGTCACATCGTCAACTACAGACCAACATTTTCTCATATCTTGTAACATAATGTCACAGCCGCATGTCTCTCTCCCAACCATGCTCTGCACACACACAGACACACCCACAAATACACACCAAAATTTTAACCTAACTTAAAACAGCATTATCATAGTGGTAGTCCCGTTACAACATGGGAACTTTTAGGAGTCGTAGGAATCGATTATTTAGTCATATGATAAAGGTTTTTATTGGACTCTGTGCAGTCATATGAAAAACTAAGTACAGCCCATAATTCAGTAGCTTTTAGAACCACCTATAACAGCAATAACTTGGAATAAAAAAAGATTTCTCAGACTTCATCAGTCTCTGACATAACCGTGGAGGAATTTTGGCTCACTCCTTTGTGCAGCATAGCGTTATTCAGTTTGTGTGTTTATTTATGTACAGCTCTCTTAAGGACCTGATTTGCTGCTGGATCATTGTCCAGTAGTTTTAGCTCGTCTTTAGCTATCAAGACAAAAGGCCTCACATTTGAGTTTAGAATACTTTGATATTCAGAGGAGTTCATTGTCTGCTCTATGACTGCAAGGTGCACAGTCTGTAAAACAAGCCGAGATCATCATCCCTCCACCACTGTGCATGACAGTTGGTTTACAGTGTTTGCGCTGATATACTGCCTATTGGTTTTCACCAAATGCATTGTGTCCAAACATCTCCACTTTGGGCCTGTCTGTCTAAATAACATTGTTTCAGAAATCTTGTGGTTTGTTCATATGCAGCACTCCTACCTTAAAAACCATACCCATTTAGTCTTTTTCTGTTTTTTTTTTTTTATTCTCAGATACGTTAAAACTTTATGAGACCTGTAAAGTCTTAGATGTAGCTCTTGGGGTTTTTGCATTTCTCAGAGCATTGCACGGTCTGGCCTTGGGATGAGTTTGTTGGGAATTCTGCTTATAAGAAGATTGTCTGTTTTGAGATTTATTAACAAACACCTGAATGTTCCAGGGTAGCAAATTACCAAACTTCTACTTTTATACAGATGCTCACCACATATTGATATTTTAAAAAGTGCAATCGGTTAGCACCACCTAGCTGCTTCTGTTCATTTTTATTCCATTTGAAGCAGTAAGGGTGTACTTGGTTATTCACTGGACTGCAGAGTCAAAATGTTTTTACATGCCTGTAGGAATATTAGAAAACAGTGAGTTTCAGGCCAGTGACAAAATGTATTTCAGTTCAGTTTTATTTATTCTGCAGTTTAAAGAATACACAGCGATGAACAGTTTAATGTGTAATAAAATCTATAAATAGGTAAACCTGATTTAAAAACAAAACAAAAAAAACCCTCAACATCGGAAATATATGGTCATTAAGTTCTGAGCAAATCTTCCTTTTTTTTTTTTTCTTTTTTTTTTTTAAACAAGTAGTTGACAAATTTAAGTCTTGCACTCAAAGACACCTCACAGTGCCTCCTGTTTTTAAAAACCGTGTTATTGAATCAAGATGCCACATCTCAAATCTTTGATACAGCGTTAACTCACACAGGATTCATTGGAAGTTTTGTTTTGTTTTGGTTTCTTTTGTTCCTGCATTTAGTTCCTGCGGCCGCATTATTTCTGTAAAAAGCCTGCTTATCTTGCAGTATGCATGACTTGAGTCAGAGAAAGTCTTGCAAATGTTTTTGGCTTTTTATGTCTTTTATAGTGACAGTCTACTTGTTGAGGGAAATGTAGAATTTCATGCAGCTTGGAGTAAGAGCAAGTTAGACTAAAGTTTGCCCGCGGCAAGTTGTGTCAACCACAAAACACACTCACTGGTCTGTTCAGCTCAGGCCCCTTAAGTCTCTCAGTCAGAGCAAACTCATCACTCCCTCTCCTCTGTGACGTCTTTGAGTTGGGAAAGAATGCCCACAGCTGGTTGGTGGCTATATGTGATGCTCTGTGACTGGCGTGTTTGTTCGTGATGTGCCGTCGATCCATCGATACTCGAGCATGAGCTGCTTTTCTGTGTCTTGGTTTACCGCCAGGTTCTCACTTCCTCGCCCCTCATTATTCATCTCAGGCCTCTTCTGCTGCCGTCTCCACTTTTTCATATACCGCTTAGCTTAGCTACACCTCTCTCTCTCTCTCTCTCTCGCGCGCTCTCTCTCTCTCTCTGACCAAATTGTATCATCTGCTTTCATGTAACTGCTCTCATTAAATCCATTGTATCTTGTCACTTTCACTCTGAGCAAACTTTGAATCTGCCTCTTCTTTCTGTATATTGTCTGCTTTGAGACTGTCCTTAAGATGTGAGACTTTTACTAATGAATCTCTTGTTTTTAATGCAGACTCAGCATGTAGTGAAACCTCCAAATCAAAGGTAATGTGCTCCTTTGTGTTTCTGTTTTCTCATTCATGTGTCTGAGCTAGTTTTATGGTCTGAAGTCCAGTTTTAATGTTTTAATGCCATTTTTAATGTGTGTCATCAGGGCTTGTGGGGATCAGGGAAGGATCAGTGTAGCAAAGAATTGATTCGCTCCTCCTTCTTCGTTAACCGCAAACGCAAGAAGCCCAAGGAAAAAGTTCAGCCTAGCAGTTCAGATGATGACCTGGACCCTGTGTTTACAAAGAAGGAGCTACCAAAGGAGAGCCAACAGCATCCTCTGTGGTCCCCGCACAGTCGGACCGAAGAGGAGGAGGAGGAGGAGGAGGAGCAGCAGACAGATGAAACCAGCGAGAAGGAGAAGGAAAAGAACAGTTCTGAGGAGCAGCTGGACAAAACCAACAGGAAAGAATATCTTTCTAACAGCTCAATGTCACAGCCCTCTCCCTCCCTGCCTCCAAAACGCATTTCCTCCAACCTTCAGACTGGATCCCCCTACCCCTCTCCTACACATTCCCCAGACCTCAGCTACCGCATGCCGATGGTTCACCAGTCCTCTCTCACGGACCCGCCATCAAACTATGATGACACGGTGTCTGACCTCGGAACGATGAACAGCACCAGCTCTCAAGCATCAGTGCCCAGAATGAGGCGTGGCAAGACGGTGGGTGCCCTGGGAGCAGAGATGTGTCCCAGCGGGCTGGGAGCGGAGGTTTGCTCCATTACCTCAGACTACTCCACCACATCCTCCATGACTTTCCTGACTGGAGCTGAGCTCAGCACCCTCAGTCCCGAAGTGCAGTCTGTGTCTGAGAGCAGGGGCGGAGAAGATGCTGATGATGAGAGAAGCGAGCTCATCAGCGAAGGAAGGGCAATGGAGACGGACAGCGAGAGTGACCTGTCAGTGTTCACTGTGGGTAAAGCCGACCAGCGAGAACCGCAGGAAGTCCTTCGACCCCTCCCCTCACACAGACTCATCGAATGCGACACACTTTCAAGAAAGAAAGCCGCCCAACAGAAAACCAACAGCGAGTCTTCTCTGGACGGCGCTCGTAGCGATAAAGATTCCACTGGACCGTCACGCTCTTCGGGGTCAGTTAAGGGTCGTTCCACCGCAAGCCTCAGCACTGCGTCCCGGAGTGAGCTGGACAAAGGAGAGCCCACGTGGAAGTTGAAGATCACAGACAGACTGAAGGTACGCATGCGAATGTCTGTGGATGACATGTTCGGTGTGGGCAGCCAGAGGATTCAGTCCTCAGAGGGCCGCAGTAAGAAGAAGAACATCAGACGCAGACACACGATGGGCGGGCAGAGAGACTTTGCCGAGCTGTCAGTCTTGGGAGACTGGCCGCAGCAGGTTCACATCGGCTCACGGTCGGAGCTCTCAGCTGTGGACCGGCTGAAACCTAAGTGCAGCTCTCAGGACTTCTCAATCGGGGACTGGATCGCCCGCGAGCGCCACCGATCCAGCAATCCCGAGGTCAGTCTGGACTTCTCTGAACAGCAGAACCCCAGAGCCTCGTCCTCTTCTGAACCCCCACATCATCCTGCTGAGGCGCTGAACGGGGACTTCCCCCAGAGCAAAAATCTGAGCCTCTCGGCCACCGCTCACCCACATAAACTCACCAGTTCCCAGGTGGTCCATTCGCGCTTCTATCAGTACCTGTGAGAGCTGTGTGTGCGTGTGGCTGTGTGTGTTTTTGGTCTGTCAGGTGTGTCTCTGTATATGGGAGTCTGTCAGTGTAGTGTCTATTGTGTGACCAATGTCTAGTGAATGAGCATGTTGTACAAAAATGTCTGGCGTGTGTGTCTAAGTGGTGTGTGTATGCTTGTGAAAAGAGAATTACTGCACACAGGAATTGTTGAGCTTGCTCATGTTTAAGGCATGGAACAAAATGTTATCTTTTTTTTCCATTTTGCTTTTGTTTGTTTTTTCTTTTTTTATATTAAAAATGACTTTGGGATGGCCCAAGAGGAGGATTTCAACCCTCCTAGTACAAGTCCCAGATGTGCTAACGATCGAAAGGACCTGTTGCCCGTGAAACGAGTCTGAAGTACGTTCAAGGAAGTGTGAACACTCAATTTAAGATTGTTTAAAGGTTTAGCTAAGTGGCTTTAAGGATGAACTGACTTAGGATGAATAGGAAGTAGTGGAAAAGTGCAGATTTTTCGTATTGCAGAGCAACTATTTTTGCGTAAAGAAAGTTACAGTGTTCAAAGTCGGTGAGTCTGTCGGTAACCAAATGAAGAATGTACAGACATGCTTGCTGTAATACTGACTAAAAGCTTTAGATGCTTGTGTTTCATTCTAAAGTGTACATATCCCTATTTTTCTGTGTACTTGAATTGTGTTTTTTGGTACTGTGTGTGTGTGTGCGTGTGCGTGTGCGTGTGCGTGTGCCTGCCTACAAGCCGTCTGCTGTCAAAGGGGCCTTTCCAAAGGTACAAAGGTGACAAGGAGACACTGGTCTTATGCAAATGGAAAATATAGTTCATACTCATCCCTGCTGTGTGGTTTAAAGAGCAGTGAACAACAGCCCTCTGATGCAAGCTATGTTTTAGTGTTCGGAGTTCACACGTCTGTCCGCGATTGCAACGAAGAGAGAGTTGGGCAAAGAAGAAAATGGGTAATCGAACCAGAAAAATCAAGTTTTCTTCACTAAAGAAAGTGCCTCACAATGAAATGTTAAGGGTGCCATATTGTCTTTGTTGAGATACACGAAGATGTTACTGTGAATGACATTTTTACTGTTGACTCTCAGTCATTCTACAGGTTAAGAAAATGCCGAGCTTCCATTCCTTAGGCATTCCACTCTGGTCTTAATGTTTTATACATACTTTATCCTGTTTTTTCATTTGTTGTTTTTTGTTTTTTTTAAATTTTAACAGAACTTGAATTTTAAATATTCATTGTAAAATAAGTAACTTAAATGTACATATAAATGCCATGTTTTAGCTGCTTTATTTTTCATTTCCATCAGATTGCAAGTTTAAGTACAGTATTGAGAAATGACAACAATGGCGATGATGAGGATGATTATCTCGAGGCCTGTGTGGGTGTTGTGGGCAGTTTGGTACTTCTCTGTGATGAGAGGTTCCCTGCAGGAGGAGGGCACTTCATTGAGCTGGATTGTTTGTATCAGTGCAGTGTTCCTCTTGATTGTAAGGGGGTGTGCACAGACTCCTGAAACACTGGAAATAAAATTTTGTCAATGGCAAATATCGATTTTTGCTTTCTTACCCCCCCTCTTCACCACTTTGTATGATGGAAGTGAGATTGGGCACTGAAATCTTTTTAAAAGGGGAAAATGCAACTTAAATAGTTGTGAATATGTTTAAGCTCTCAAATCATTTTAAGTATGAATCAATATTAATGATTACATTTAATCCTAATCATGTAGCATTAAAACATTTGTCTGAAATGTGCCTTTTAATTGGGCCGCTCACTACAAACTCACCATGTTTTCCTTCTGCTGCTGTTTAGCTGTCTGCATTGTTTTAGTGCAAGTTATCCAGTTTTGCAGATATTGGCTGTAGAAATGTCCCGCTTCTCTGGAATGTAATGGATGTAAAGGGCACATGCTCTGCTGTGCACAGAGCTTCTGAAAATAATGAACAATGTTTAAGCAGGAACTGTGTTCATTTTACTGCA